TTTTTTTTCTTTCGGTTTGTATCACTCTGAGTAAAAAGTTATTTTACTATTTTATTAACTTATTTTTTATGTTTGCAAATAACTTTGAGAAGTTTTCTTGCTCACTCATCATCTAGATGTTGCAGGCTGTCTTTAATGCTGTAAGAGATGATATGGGAATTACTCAACCTTGCGCCACACACGCATGGATCCATCTAAGGCCGGAGGCCAAGTTCGACTACATTGAGAAAATCGTACACTATCTAAGGTTTGACAGCGCCTCAACACCATGACTATTAATCAGAATCCCCTAATCGAATAATTGCACTATATTTAGAGCTGATCATGATAGGATCAGGAGTGCCATGGTTACAATGAGGCCCCATGTTGTGCAAAAAAGAAGGAATCAGAAGCCAGTTAGTTTCGATCATGTTCTTAAATTGTTCTGTCGAGATTAATGCGTTTAGGAGGAAGGCTAGGAGTATTGGACGAGTAGGTGACATTATTTTACGGTAGCATTGCTGATGTAGACAGTTAGTACGCACAGCTAGATTTAGCGCTTTTCCTCGTACTTTCTCTGTATCTTCAAGATGTGATTTATTATGTCATTGTTAAGTATCTAAGCATTAGAAAATTTAAAACTCTATCGTCTTTTGATAGTGTTTTTACACAGAAATTGACTAATGTTTGCCACAGGTCGCCTCTTCAAATCCGAAAAGAACAGGATCAATCAAGCAATTGGCCGACAATATCATGGGCTGCTCATCATTTGCTACACCAAGCACATTGGCAAACACTGTCGTTGCAGAAAATGTAAGTAAATAAGTAATGTAGGTAATGGTTTGCGATACGAAAAGCTTCTGCTAGTCCAAAATAATGAAGAAATCCTGTTCATTAAAGAGGCTATAAATAAGGTGGGAAGTGCCATGAAGCATGTTTAATGGTCATCTAAAAGCCAGGTTTCGTTTTTTAATAGTAGGTAATTAATTAGCGCTAATCTCTCATATAAACGTAAAGGGACAGTTTTGCAAAGAAGATTCTTAGTGCGTAGCTATAACTAACCATCAATGGTTTTTGCATATATGACTTTCATTCGTATGTAGAAGACTATGAAATGAACATGTTGGGAATGATGTTTCTTTAATACTTAAGCTTTCTCTATTACCATTGAAACCTTTAATTGTAGTTACTTTTTCCATTGATTTAGACGACACTCTCATCATCCGCCTGCATACGACCAGATGACGATTTCGAAAATGTGTTCGGAACGGAACAAAATCCACATAAGAACTCTACAATAGTTCGTCATTATTCTTATAGAACTTTGCATGAACAAAATGTGGGTCATTCATGCCTGAATGCACCTGATTACTCAATGTGCAAAAGTTGCGATTTTTAGGACGAGGATGCGAAACACTACACGAAACGACCGCATGTAGATCGGCTGAATCCTGAACTTGTGCAAAAGGTAAAGTATCTTCTTATTTAT